CAGCACCCCTCAGGGGAGTCTTTTCACCCTCTTCCCCAAGGTATTTGACCTGAAACACGAGATAGAGTCATGTTTATGTTGTCTACTAAATGAACCTCCTCATCCATATCAATGGTATTGAAAAACCTATACAGGCAAGCTACTCTTTTAACCCTAAATCTCTATTTTGGATGTAGCATATGGTGCAGCCAACTGACAATATGCAATAGAAGACAAGCGAATCATAACAGCTCAACGAAAGTCAAAGCTAAGCATAGTTGCAACTAGAAGCGTACACAAGAAACACAGAATTCCTGATTTAGTACCAGAACATTTGCTCCAATGCTAGTTCCAATAGCAAATAGAGGAGCCATTGGGTATTTGTGTTGAAGATAATCAAGAACTATCCGTATATCCTTTGTCCACCCCGCATTATAGAAGCGATCAGACTGCATGCGTTTGCAACAATAACAAGATTACTGAAGAATGTTTTACTAGAAGCAGAGTGGAAAGCCCAGATTAGGGAACTCACAGTAACAGAAACACCACCTAATCCTCTATGGTTGCTAATAACAACATTCCAACCTGTTTTTGCAGTTCCGTAAGCAAGGTGCTTTAGATACTACAAAATCACCAATGCAAGTCATCAATTAGACATTTTTAACTACATGGGGCAATAAATGTGTCTCAGTCCTAGACTACTTACAGGAGATGAAGAATCACTAGTTAACCCTGGAATAACAACAGCAATGGGAGTTGTGTCTTCTTTTGTGATTTCATTCTGATAGTGAACATCACCATCAAGAACTGCACAAAATCAACCAGATTCAAAGATGGAAACAAACAAAATCTTCGTTTTTTACAGTCACTAAAATCTTTACCATCAGAGTTAGTCAGCCAATCCAATGCAATCGTTCCACCATCAGAAACGCGAAAGAGCTGTCTGTAACAAGAAATCATAAAACGAAATCATAAATCTGTGTCTCAAATTCAATCGCACAGGAAAAAGAAAACAACAATCCCTCAAAATCACCACCTTGTGTAGCTGAAAACTGGAGGCAATCCATGGAAATTTAAGAAACAAGTTTGAAGATGAGGACTAGCTAACCATGGTGTTGCAACATATCTACATGATACAGAAGAAGAAGAAAAATCAAATCCAAATCAAAATCCCCAAAATCGAGTGTCGGAGGTTTCGTTTCACTCACCGGCCGTGAAGGATTCGGCAGCGAGAAACAAGACCGTGGTAAAGAGGAGAATCGGGATGGTAGGTGAGATTGACATTGCATCTGAAATACTTGAGAATCGAATCTCCAAGGAAATGGAACTCGACGAAATTGTAGAAGAAGACGCACC